TTTCCACCTGGCCTGAGAGGCGGGGGTCCTGATTTCAGCTACAAAAGCTGAGGCTGCTGAAGACTCTTGGGCTGGGGTGTTGAGGGTGGCTGACTCTTGTTGAGCGTGGCTGCTGTTGCTATTGGGCTTTTGTATCTGTTTAAGGACTTTCATAGAATCATAGAATCATAGAGTTGGAAGAGACCACAAGGGCCATCGAGTCCAACCCCCTGCCAAGCAGGAAACACCATCAGAGCACTCCTGACATACGGTTGTCAAGCCTCTGCTTAAAGACCTCCAAAGAAGGAGACTCCACCACACTCCTTGGCAGCAAATTCCACTGTCGAACAACTCTTACTGTCAGGAAGTTCTTCCTAATGTTTAGGTGGAATCTTCTTTCTTGTAGTTTGGATCCATTGCTCCGTGTCCGCTTCTCTGGAGCAGCAGAAAACAACCTTTCTCCCTCCTCTATGTGACATCCTTTTATATATTTGAACATGGCTATCATATCACCCCTTAACCTCCTCTTCTCCAGGCTAAACATGCCCAGCTCCCTTAGCCGTTCCTCATAAGGCATCGTTTCCAGGCCTTTGACCATTTTGGTTGCCCTCCTCTGGACCCGTTCCAGTTTGTCAGTGTCCTTCTTGAACTGTGGTGCCCAGAACTGGACACAGTACTCCAGGTGAGGTCTGACCAGAGCAGAATACAGTGGCACTATTACTTCCCTTGATCTAGATGCTATACTCCTATTGATGCAGCCCAGAATTGCATTGGCTTTTTTAGCTGCCGCATCACACAATTTGTTGTTATTTATGTGGAAATTATTCAGTTTGGTTTTGTATTTTTTATGTTTTATTTATTGTTTATGACTACTTAGAATTATGTTGCAGCTCTGCATTTTGTTCACGCTGTGAGTCACCTTGAGCACGGTTTGAACTGTGGAAAGTTATAAAACTATGTATGTATGTAGAAGCACTGCAGCTTTTGGAGTTCTCAGAGATCTTTTTGGAGCTCCTCGCAATTCTGTTTTTTGTTGTTTTTATCACCCTGGACAATTTGGTTTCGCCAAGAAACTCGGCCAACCCATTCCACTGCTCACCATTAATTACAGATCATTTATGAACAAGTGAAAAAGGACCAGACTCAATACAGATCCTTGGAGGAACGCATATGCCTCCTTTGTGAGAAGGTCCCACTTCTTCCTACTCTTGGCTTCCTGTTGTGTAACCAGTTCCTGATCCACAAGGGGACCTCTCCACTTATCCTATGGCTGCTAAGCTTATTTAGGAGTCTTTAGTGAGGGACTTTATCAAAAGTTTTTGAAACATCTGGAGGGCTATGGGTTAGCTACTCAGGCCATACAACATTCATAATTTTACCATGTTCCTCACTTTACTCCCCTCGCCCCAGTACAAACAAAATGTCACCATGATTAGGTGGACAGAGCAAAACCACATGCAGATACACAAATTCTGATGCGTCCATGGTACCACCCCACCTTCCTGTTACCGTTCAACAAAGCAGCACTTCACTTTTTCAACACACTGCCGCCACCCCCTGCCAAATCACCAGATCAAGTACAACGTGCTTATCAAGTCTGCCCTTCTGTCTCTAGAGAATGCAGCCAACATGACCTTCATCAAACAGACACAAGTTCCAACAATCAAGAGATCAGGAGCTTAATTCTGCTCTTGAGAAGACTAACCCTTCCTAATTTATTCCTAAGTGGAGCTTGCGCTCTTGTAGGCCGTGGCACAATTCTAGAAGCATATTCCATGTGTTTGCCAATAAAGATGGAATGTAACTCTGCCCTGGTCATCTGTTTTCTTCAAGGTAGATTCTCAATACATTAAAGTGTTGTTTTTTTAAAGGGGGGGGGGACCCTTTCCCTCTTGTGAAACGAATGCACTCCCATCTATCCTCTACTGGATTTAAATCTCTACTTTAGCTCGCTCAACACTGTTCATTATTCTCCCCATAAATGCAGTACAAACATTTTGTAAACAGATACTTTCAAGGTTATGTCAAAGGAAGCTCTTGTAATGTTTGATGAGTGAAAAGGAGATGAATTTGCAACCGTATTTCTGCATGCATGCAAGAGGAGGCCTAGTTTTTTCCTCAAAAAAATGTCAACTGGAAGTAGAAAGAACACGAGCACTTATTTCAAACATTGTGGCCTGTCAATGTGAAGAATTCCCCAAAAATTCAAGATAAAGAAACCCTTTCACTATAAACTGAAGCAACACAGTGTGCTTACAATGAAATGCACCAGGTACAATCAGGATTCAAAACATGCCAAGCAAAGCATCAATGCTAGGCCAACAAGTTGGGTAGAAAGAGAACACAATAAGAACACAGCCGGCACCTAATCATCATAGACTTAAGAACTGAGTAAGTTGAACTACTGTCAGCAGCCCATGGCAACAGCTGAATTGTGCATAATTCTAAACCACGAATGCTTCTCGAAGGCAATTTCTTGCCAATTTCTCCCTGACAAAGTCAAACGTGGTGGTTTTCTTCTTTTTTTTGTACGCGCCCACATGTGCACTCAGATAAATAAATAAATTCAACTCCAATTAAGTTAGCGGAATGTTGGATTGACAGTTCGCAGTGCCAGAGCCAAACCCAGCCCTAGCGAGAAAGGACCCTAGAGGCAATGGGGCGGCATTCACTTACACCAGGTCCCCATTTGGCAGCTAAACCTGAGAATGCATTTGGAGGCCAGCTACAGGTCAAGGGAGGTGGCATATGTCTCAAAAATCATGCATCTCAGACGGGGATTGTCAGCCTTGCCGTGTGCCATCATCCTTGGTAAATCCCTGCCATGGAAAAATACACGTATTTTCACTTGCGTGGGAGAAAAGCGTCGTGATTTGACAGCCGATTCGAGGAAGGTTGGATTTATGTCCAATTTTATTATTTTGTTAACCTTAGGATCTTTTGGAATAACTCATGTATCAAATACTGACATATTTAATCATTCTCTCACATTCTACAGAGCTTATTGAAACCCCTCTTCTCAATAAATTTAAAGGAGTCAGGGAAAGTTCATGAAAAACAATGTTCATAAGTGGGGGGTGGGGGGGAGAGAAATCACAGTACCATGAAACATGAGAAATTGAGAATACATCGACATAATACAGTATTTCCCCTTCCCCCATCAAACATACACTTTTGATATTCTAGTCATAGTTATTCATCTATGCTTAGACATGGTCCAGCAAAACAGCGCTAAAAACAAAGGGCACAAACAATAGTTAGAAAGCTGAAAACTAGCATATAGGTAGAATAAAATACCAATACTATTATGCTAAAGCTCCTACTACATCCCAGTGGAGTTTTAGGTACCGTGGCCGCCACTTCCCCTTGATGGCATGCGTCTTCTACAGTATTATTCCTGCAATAATATGTCTTTCACCACTTACAATAATATTTATTTGACCTAAATCCAACACAGAATTAGGCATGCTTGAGACCATTAATTTCAATGGGCTTAAGCAAGCTTAATTGTGCAATGGATTTAGGCCTTTTTGTCCCGGGCACATTAATTGAGCCATGACAATGGAAATCCACATTCAACAGCCCACTCCATCAGATTATCTACTGTGGACCACTACACATGTTGTTTAATAAAGCTCTAAGCAATGACTAGCCTGCAAACTTGACCAAAAATGGGGGGAGGGTCTTTGAAACACTCTGTTCAGCATGTTTGGCTCACAATGCACGGATAGGCCCCTTGCGTGCCGACTAAAGAAAGTGATGCAAACTTGAGAGTGTACCTCAGCAGCCTCAATATCTGCAGATGGAATTAAAGGCGCAGATTTCTGAGTCATATTTAAGGGCTTCAAATAAGCTATTCATTCATCCTGCCCCGCCCCCATGCTTGGTCCAGAAACTGAAGTTAGTACAGAATTACTGCTGACAAGACAAGAGACTCTGCCGGCATGTTACACCTTTGCTCAGTGATCTTGAACTGGCTGCCAAATTTCACATGGTCAAATTCAATGTGCTTCTATTAGTACATAAACTCCTTAACAGCTTGGGACTTTAAGGATCACCTGATATGTGAAACTGGCACTTTTAAAAATGCCACATAATGTTCATGCCACACTTGCAAGGAATTATATTTTAATGCGGCAACACCTATTCACTGAAACGCCCTGCCTTTCAATATTAGGCATTGTTTTTGACAAGCCCACCCAGCTATGTAATGTGTGTGTTTTCTTCCCCAAAGCAATATTAATGTGCTATATAATGCCCCATTTTCCTCTACGGTATAATTGATTCATTTTCCATGTATGTCACCTGGAGACCCTTTGGGCGATAAGCGATTAGTATTTTAATAAATAATTACTATTATTATTACAGTGGTACCTCGGGTTGAGAACTTAATTTGTTCTGGAAGTCCGTTCTTAACCTGAAACTGTTCTTATCCTGAGGTACCACTTTAGCTAATGGGGCCTCCCGCTGCCACCGCGCCGCCACCGCACGATTTCTGTTCTCATCCTGAAGCAAAGTTCTTAACCCGAGGTACTGTTTCTGGGTTAGCGGAGTCTGTAACCTGAAGCACCTGTAACCTGAAGCATTTGTAACCCGAGGTACCACTGTATTTCATCTACATTTTGCAAACCTTGTTTTCCCTACTATTTTTAATGTCTGTTTCATCACTATTTTCCATAGAATCACAGAGTTGGAAGGAACCCTGAGGAATATCTAGTCCAGGGGTCAGCAACCTTTTTCAGCAATGGGTCCCTCAGACCATGTGGTGGGCAGGACTATATTTTGGAGGGAAAATGAACAAACTCCTATGCCCCACAAATAACCCAGACATGCATTTTAAATAAAAGCACACATTCTACTCATGTAAAAACACCAGGCAGGCCCCACAAATAACCCAGAGATGCGTTTTAAATAAAAGGACACATTCTACTCATGTAAAAACACACTGATTCCTGGACCGTCCGTGGGCCGGATTGAGAAGGGCCTTAGGTTGCCTACCCCCGATCTAGTCCAACCTCCTGCAGTGCAGAAATATACAGGATCAAACCTGCAACCTTGGTGTTGTCAGCACCACGCTCTAACCAACTGAGCTGTTTTACTTAAAATTATTTGATTAAGTGGTATGTAAGCCTTGCTATTAAAAAAAAAAGTCACAGGAAAGAAACTGCTTCAAGGAGGACGAATAAGATGTGAAGTTCCAAGTACTCAGACAGAAGGCACAATCAAGATACATGAGGATGTGATTCATCTAGAGTAGCTCTTCTGGGGCCTTAAGGTGAAAGGCATTTTGCAGTCAGGGAACACATTCTACACACAGCGGTCAGGCAGAGCACTTGCTAAGCAGAGACTGCACCCCAGAAATGGGGGGGGGGTGAGGCCTATATGGCAACACCCAAGCTCTTCTCCCCAACAGGAATAGAGCAGCAGCTCATTCTGAACTGGCAAAAAATGTTAAAATTATCTTTCAACAAAAAACCAGAAGCCTACTTACTGGGGAATCACAGACCCAGATATCCCAAAAAAGGCAAAGGAATTTTTTCTATACGCCACGGTCGCAGCAGGAGTCCTCACTGCGACAAACTGGAAAAGTGATAAAGTCACTTCTAGATTAGAGTGGACTCAAAAAGTGCTTGAATATGCAGAATTAGACAATCTATCAGAAAGAATAAAAAATAAATCACAGGAAGTGCTTATTTCAAAATGGGAAGTCTTTAAAATTTATTTGAAAAATAGTAATGACAGTTTAAACTCTGCAGCAGCATTTGAATAACTTCAGTAGGAGCTTCAAGTCTGAGGGGAAACCCATGATAAAATAAATAATATTAAAACCAAAATATGTTATGATATGAACAATTGTGAACAATTGATGAGAAATAGAAGTAAGGCGCAGACGTCAGAAGTCATGTCTACAGAAAAAAGACCATTTTTATGTCAAAGTATCATGAACACTATTCAATGTATTGTTTGTTTTTTGTTGTTGTAGTTGTTTTTAGTTGTCAAGTGGTGACGGATATTTGTTTATTTTCATATTTCTCTTTTTTGTGATGTATTAAAGTGAAGGGGGGGGGAAGGAATATAGCAGCAGCACTGCCAGCTGCACTCTGGACAGTCAGCAACAGAAGCAGCCAGGAGACAGAAAACAAGCTCTGTCCAAGGGATGGGGAGGAAAAGCCCCAACAACACCTCATTCTCCACCACAGCCACCCTGCTCTCACTGTCAGCCCCAGCACCGTAGCAATAAACAGCTCCCTGCCTAGGCATGGCTCCAGGAAGATATGACTGTACAGATAAGACAGGCAACTGCCATCCCCACAGAACTCATCCTCCTCCCCCAAGGCCCACGTCCTTGTTCCCTGGCCAGATGCATTGTGAGAGAGGTGTCCAAGTCACTACAGAGAATCCGCTGTGGCCTGCTGCCCGACAGAGGGGAGCCACGTTCCTAGACACCTCTTACTCACTTTGCTTGGCACTTTGCTTTGCAGGGGCGCGGGTGGCGCTGTGGGTTAAACCACACAGTCCAGGGCTTGCCGATCAGAAGGTCGCGGTTCGAAGCCCCGCGACAGGGTGAGCTCCCATTGTTTGGTCCCTGCTCCTGCCAACCTAGCAGTTCAAAAGCATGTCAAAGTGCAAGTAGATAAATAGATACCGCTCCGGTGGGAAGGTAAATGGCGTTTCCGTGCGCTGCTCTGGTTTGTCAGAAGCGGCTTAGTCATGGTGGCCGCATGACCTGGAAGCTGTACGCCGGCTCCCTCGGCCAATAAAGCGAGATGAGCGCCGCAATCCCAGAGTCGGTCATGACTGGACCTAACAGTCAGGGGTCCCTTTACCTTTTAAAGGAGCTGGACTTGTTGCTTCCCAAAGCAACAAAGCAGTGTTGGGGATTATTGCAGGAGACAGAGTCTGGAGTTGTCTATCACTGCAGGCATGTCTTGCCTCACCTCTCCTATCTGCCCTGGCTGACCCTGGATATGGTGTGCTTTATGCCACCTTAACTTAAGTCAGCGTAATATACACCAGCTTCCTGTGCTCGGAATTGCTCCCTTAAACAAGAATTGGGATTGTTTTTAAGGTTCTGTATTTATCTCTGTGCTTCAACAAAGATGCTAAGTTGCCTAGCCTGCCATTCTAGGCAAAAAAATAAAATAAAAATTCCCAACACAATGATGTTGTTGCTTCATATGACAAAAGCAACTCTGTGACAACTGCCAAGCAGTCTTCTATGCCTGCTGTGTGTGGTGCTCATGCAGAGACTTTGGATGGAGCACTTCAGAAGATAATTGATTGGAGTGGGGTGAAGGATCTGCGGCAACTTCCCCAACACACAATGGGAATTGTAGGGGACAATTTGGATACACGGGGTTGCATCCAATCAAGTTATCCTGTTCACACAAGGGCTTTCGCTTCCCCTCTCCACGTGCCCCACAATCTGTCCTGGGGGTTCCCTAAACACACACACACACACACACACACACACCTATAAACAAATTTTCAGGAAGGGGAGAAGATGGAAGGAAAATTCCATGGTGCAAACTGAAGTCCTTGTGCAAACCAGATATCTGCATTGGATATGTCATAATTCTGACTATTTTGCAATTATTATGAAAACATCTTCCCCCAGTCCTGGCTTCTTCTAAGGGCACACACTTTTACAGTCATGATGAATTGGTTCCCAGAAAAATCAGTGGAACAGGACGACTTTAGCCTAATAAAATGAAACGTCTCCTATGTTTCATTTGGAAGAGGATCTTCCAATACAAAGCACTACATCTTCCTCTGGCTTACTAAACCAAACGTAGCAAACTGTGCAATTGTGACACTGGAATCCTTTATCCATTCATCTATGAACCATGCCCTCAGCACATCTCTGCAAAGAGAAGAACGATCAGATATCTGTCTTCATCTTGTCGGAAAACGATGACATTTTTCCGTAAGAAAAGGGTCCAAATGGCAGGTGTCAAAGAGCTTTAGCTTCACACGTGGTGCTAGGAGGCAGAAAAAACAACAGCAGCGTGTGGTCATGTCAGAACTACACAGTAGCTGCCGTAAGAATGCATATCTGAAAAGAGCAAACCTCAGAGTCTGTTAAATCAATCTAGTGCCAGATGCTGTTATCAGACGAAAGCTGGTGCTGGCAATTCATCCCCCAGCAGAAATACACATCCCAAGTCCGTGGCAGAAAGTGAAGCCCTGAAATGGCAGGTCTTATGATTAAAAAGGTGACAGTTACCTGCATTTGTCCCCCATTGTTTTCTATTGACAGCATGAGAACAGAGTTTCCGTCTTAAGTCATAAAGCTATTGTGACACAAAGCTCCCCTTTCCTTACTGAAAATAGCACCATAAACATGAACTTCCATAGTCCACTTCCAAATTAATCATCCAGCTAAAGAAAATTCATTTATGCTTCCAGGCTCTACTAAGCATCATCCCAACCCATAGTTTGTGCTAACCATAGTTTAAAAGCCAAATCACAACTAGAGTATGACAGGCAAGCCGTGGTGTAGAGATGCTTGCCTGTTTTTTGTTTTCTGTCCTGTCAGCACTCAGCTCTCTAAGGTCACTCCCATCTCCATGGCACAAGCAAGCAGCCGCTAGGGGTAAGAATGGCCAAACATCACACCAAACCACGCTTTGTCAGCTCATCTATTTCTATAAATCAGGGGTGGATAACACATGGGCCTCCTGACGTTTCTGAACCACAATGTTCACCATTCCTGGTGACTGGCCATCCGAGCTGGGCTAATCGGAGTTGTAGTTCAGCAACATATTGAGGGACACAATTTAGACATCTCTGCCCTAGACAAACTTCAAGGAAGCTGATCTGCAGAACTGGGGCACAAATGGAAATAAATGACAAACTAGTCTATAACAATATGGCATTCTCACAGAGATTCTGCAGGTGTAGAGCCTGTTCAGATATTCTGCTTTTAAGGTGTTCAATTAAGTGTGGTGACGTAAGAATGAACCAAGTATGTGTTGCAAAACCCATGCATCTTTCTACACTCATTAAAGAGTCTAGATTGGCAACGGCTGCCTGATAAAATGTTGGGAAGGGATTTGTTATTGATGCATTTGACTGCAAAGCACTTTGTGAGGCCATTGTTCTGAAAAGCAGCACAGAAGCCTTTTAAGTAAATTAATTAATGCACATATGGGGAAGCTAACTTTGACAAGTTAGCTTGCCATGTAATGTTTGGAATGGCTTATGCAGGAAAACAGTCAAATATATGGTCCCAAGGTAGAAGAAGTGAACCTGAAGCTGCTATCAAGTTTTCTTTAATACTCATGGGTACAGATTTGGGAAAGATGTCATGGGTATAACATTGTTCCCATTCAAGAAAGCGTGTCGCACAACCAAAGTCCCGCAAAAATGGTTCCACTTGCTCAGTGGAGCTTCCAACCGGCTTGTAAATCAAACAGCAGGGCCCAACCCTGCCAACAGATATGGCAAACCAAAGCACTTTTGAAGCTCTGGAGAAATTTAAAAACTGTGTGTGGTGAGACATGGAGGCCATCTGTCCAAAGAAAATAAGATTTAAAAGAAAAAGTCGCAGAGGGCGCATGCAAACCCTCAGAGACATGGCTAAAGTAGACCACTGGTCCCATACAAACCCTAGCAATGTTTATAAATCAGAGCAGGGATCTAATTTGGCTTCCTTATTCTTCAAGGATGCCTGACACATAATTTGAGATTCCTTGCGATGGTAAAATAAGGTTGCTTTGCTTTTCATTAAATGCTTCTATCATTTTATTTTAATTAAAAGAATACCAACTTCAAGATGTCCGGATACTCAGAGAGAAAGTTGATACTCTGAGAGACTTGGGCTGTAATCGTATGCATATTCACTTGGAAATTAAGTCACCATTTAAATGAATAGAAATAAATTCCAAGTAAATATGATCAGAAGGCTCAGGGTGTGTGAAACAAAGCTCTTGGCCAGGAGTAGAAGGCGAGGGATGGAAAATACGGCAGAATACATGGCTTTATTTCATTAACTTTGCTTACTCTTGTATGTTATTCCATGTTAGTCAGAGAAGGGTACAAGTTAGTTGGGATTTACACCATCAAATTCATGGATCAACTTCTCTGACAACTACTTC